AGGAGGAGGAGGAGGAGGAGTCATTAAATCTGCTCAATAAATCAAACTTTGTAAAAGTTCAATCGTTGCCGTGGCGACCCACCTGTGTGACTCCGATTCGGACGTCCTTGCCGACGGAGCTAGTCCCCTTCAGCATGTCTCCGCTGGCTCGGAGGAACCCGGCCCCGCCCCGCAGGAACCCCCCGGACAGCAAATCCATCACCTCCTCCAGGGAACTCCGACCACGCCCACCCTGTCTGGGGGCTGCTGGGAGAGAAAAATAACACATCTGTTCACCTCCTGATATTCCAGTAACAATCAGTGAAGAATCCACTGAGTTTGAACCCCGCTAGCACCAGTTTCAGTATCCGCCCCCCTCTGATCGTACCAGTGGGCTGTCGCGGCTCCACGGCAGCGGCCAGCAGCGTTCCCAGCAGTTTGGCGACAGACACTCTGACGTTGTAGTTGGACCCTTCAAAGGCTCTGAAGCACAGAGTGGCCACGTTCTCCAGCTCGCTGGTCCACAGGAACACCGCCTCCCGCTGCAGCTCCAGCAGACACTGAGGGGACGATACAGGAAACATTACCAATCTCAATCTGCACACGTATCTTCAATTTATCATCGTATGAGTAATTTTAATTGTTGCTGTCGTACTTTACACTGCAAAAGAATAATCTCAACAAAGTAAAAAAAACCTTGTTTCTGAGAAATCTCTATTCAATGTCTTATTTTTAAAAATTAAAATAATCTTGTTGAGCATGAGAAAAATAATCTGCTTTTAAGAAAATCTAACTGTGTCTTAATAAGATCTTACAGTTAATATTGAGCTTTAACCAGTAACAACAATATTCCAGCAGAGGAACCAGATTATTGTCCTTAAGGCCACTCGCACAACATCTCAGTTTAAGAGCAAGTCGTCCGTCCCAGTGTTGGCAATGAAGCAGCTGTGTAGTTTTTCATTGTTTTAATAAAAATGATAATCCTTCTAGAAAGGCTTCCTTTTTGCAGCGTGTTGTAAATCGTATGTACAGGAGACATTTTATACTTTAGTTTTTGTCTGTACTTATGATGTATTTTACGCCGTGCCTGTGACTGAATGAACTGTAATCGATGTAAAAGCTGACGGATGATCAGCAGCAGCGACTGCAAGCACCGGTTGTCGTTACCTTGGCGGCGGCGCAGCGTACGGCCATGGATCGGTCCGTCAGGCACGTCCTCGCCGCCTTGTAGACGTCGCGGTGGCCCGGCACGGCGCTGACGCCCAAACCTTGAAGGATCTTCTCCAGGCTCAACATGATCTCGTACCGACCCTGAGACTGAGAGGAAGAGGAGGGTGACCTTTGAACCAACAGCTGGAACTTTATTTAACGCAGCACAAACTGAGGAGCAGACCAACCTCGGCGCTCTTCATGGCCTTCAGCAGGTTGGTCAGCGTGTCTTTGAAGGAGCCGGCGAGCATCCGACCGAGCTGCTCAAACAGAGCGCCGAGGCACGCAATGGCCGCCCTGAAACACAAATATTAAAATTAATCACCGCATGGAAATCTCTCCAGTACCATTTCCTCTCAACTAATGAAGCTTTCAATTGGCTTCAACGGTTTTTCCAAGCTTTCCTGCGTGCCGTGAAGGCAGCAGCACTTACAGACGGGTCGGGAGGCCTGACGGGGAGTCGTCTTTGCTGCGGATGATGTCATTGCACCTGTCCACCAATAGGCTAGAAGGAACCGGGTCTCCCAGGCGGTAGAGCAGGGCCAAGCAGTGGGCCAGCAGCCAGCGGGTCGGCGGGCCGGGGGAGCCGATCAGAACGGCCGACAGCTGCTCGACGAGACGCCGCTGGTTCTGTTTGACGTCGGCCTGGAGGGAGCAGAGAGAGAATCACGATCGTAATGATTCTAACGTTTGTAACGAAGCTGCTGCTGATCGGCGCGCTGCTCTCACCCTGTCGGTGGCGGGAAGGAGCTTCTTCAGGTGGTTCAGCCATTCAAAGATAAACTCAACCCTCTGATGTTCACCCAGCTGACTGCACACCTCCTCGTTCAGCAGGAGGCTGTGAGCTCGCTCCATCACGACCCTCCTCCTCTTCCTCTCAGTGAGGGTGAAATCTCCTCTCCTGCTTTTCCATTCTTCTAAATCCTGTTTGACACGAAGGGAGAAACAAATGGAGAGAAAATTAGTTCAGCAAAGATAAAAATCTCACTTCTATAAAGTTGGGGAACTCAGAAGAGTTTGGATCAAACTCCAAAGACACAGGATCCTACATTTCCCACAATGCAGCATCTGTGCATTAGACTCTCTCTGCAGAAAGCTGTCAGGTTGAGTGAACCACCCACAGGCTAATGTAAGGAGCTGATATATGAATCATTTCCAGGTGTTTCAATGACTGAAAACTTTAGTCTTTTAAATTCCAGGTTTTCCAGGACGAGAATCCTGAAAACGCACTTATTTTACCTCCTAACAGCAACATATGTACAGTCTGTAAGTCGTCTTAAAGATGATGATATAAGTCGATGTTTTGGCGTATTGTTGAACATTGAGTGTCGTTACGCCCGTGGTCAACCCTCGGGTCTTGAACGCTGCGCAGGGCGTGACTCAGAAAGAAAAGATTCACATTTCCACCTCTGCGTCTCTCAGACTCCACAGACGTGTTCTGTGGGAAACGGTGAACAAAGCAACCTGTCAGAGCTCCACTGAGGAACCCGTCGCTCTCTGTGTCCCATTGAGAGCTAACAGAGCGGAACAGGAGAGAGGCTGGCAGCTCGGCCGCCGGACGCTGGAAGAATATCTGAGAGCGCGAGAAAGAGAGAGAGAGAGAGAGAGAGAGCAGCTCATCAATGATTCAACAGCACAACTCTGTCTCCTCCAATAACACACACACACACAGACACACACACACACACACACACACACACACACACAAAGACAAAGTGTGAGAGCCCCTGCTGG